TTAAATTTGGAACTAATTAATTATAGATTTTGAAAATCTCCTTTAAATCGGAAAGTTTTTGTTGACTTCAAAATTTAATTTTAAAGTTTGGTTGACGTTAAGTAGACAAACAGAAAACGTTTACGAAATTAATCTTCCGTTAGTCGTCTATGTTATGTTTAAACGACATCGTGTTAGTGTTATAAAACGACACCGTTTCACTTAAGAAAGAGAGACAAAAAAAAACCTAAATATACCATAACCATATTTTTAAAAACAAAACAATATTTTGCTTATTTGAAATTAATATTCGGCGTCAAACTTATAATCAAAGTGTATTAATTACTATATTTGTTAGAAAATCACTATTTCTCGGATAAAGTGACTTTAACTATTTTAATTAAGACTCGATTCACAATAAAATCTAGTTAAAATTCTTTATATTATTTGAAACTAACTAAATTCTCCAATGGTCATGAGAAGGCATAATTTCTGAACTAGTCAATGTAAGCCACTTGAGTTCAAATTAGAGATCCACTAAAAAATGGATAACAAACTAGCCAGTTTCATATCACCATAAATTGGATATCAAAAATCAAACATCATTTGTAACCAATATCGGTAATGTGTATGTTTTTATATAACGGCGTATGTTAGCAGTGTAGTTAATCATCTGGCCAAATAGACGCTAACGTGGACGACTGACTACCCAGAGGTCCCAGACCATCATCATTCACAATCAGTCGGAGAGGGTTTTTCGCATAGGGTTTTAGAATTCGATCTTTCTCATTCAAATCCCCCCTTCAGATTTCTTCATCTGTTGAGTAAAAACCACAAGGGTTTCTCTCAAATGTTGCCCAGATTAGCTCGAGTCGTCACTCAAACCTCAAAGCTTCGATCTTTGACCACAAATGGATCGATGAAAAATCTCTCCTTTTTCTCCCGATATGGGTACGCGACTGTTGCACCTGCGGCGGCTGATCCTCCGCCGAAGAAGGATTTCCCCAGTAAATCTCCGGTATGATCCTAAAGTGCTAACATTTTGTTTACCCAGTTTAAAGATCTCGTTTGCAGAACTAGCTATTACTGGGTTCGTTAAAGTCTCTGATCGGCCATGTACTATTAGCTTAATGTTTAGTTGTTGTGAATGTTCAGGTCGCACTATATGTTCAGCTCAATTTGATTCTCTCTGTTTCTAATGTAATCGAATCCGGGACTACATTGACGTCTGCGTCCCCAGTGTAGTTCATTTAGGATTTATTTGTAAGAAATTACAACGAGGATGGATTTGGATTCATCCCTTTTTTTCTGTTGGAGTTTCGTTAGTATATTTGTGATTTAGATTCATGCCCTTTTAGTCAACTGCTTCTGCATAATCGTGTGTCTTCTTTAATGAAAAGGATTTGTTCTATGTTTGACAGATAAACTTGGATAAGATGTTTTGGTCAAAGCCATGTTCGTTGGCTCTACCCAAAGACTCTCCTCTCAGAATTGATGAACCAGACTATGTAGGGATTCGTCGTTTCATACTCAAGCTGATGATGTTCTATAGCAAACAGAGCATGTCTATCCGTGGGGCTAACGTGATCTACAAGCGAATCATTGCACAAGTCGACAAACCAGCAATATATGATGGTACTTTATATGGTTTCCAACACAACTTTTGCAAACAGAATTATGTATTTACATTTTGTGCTTTGTTTATATATTGGGTGCTTTGTGTCTGCTGCAGTTTTCAACTTGGAGAAAACATTCAAAATAACATTTTCGCTGCTTGTCCTTCATATGTGGCTTGTTTTACGCCGCTTGAAGGAAGATGGACAGGAAGGTGTTGACCTTGGTCAATATGTCTATGAGATCTACAATCATGATGTGGAACTCAGGGTATCTAAAGCCGGGGTACGTGCTAGAATTGGTTTTGCTTTACTTTAGTTTCCAAGATAAATCGTATAAGATTCCTTAAAATAAGATGGTCTTAATCTTTCTTGAAATTGCAGGTTAACTTGCTGCTGGCCAAGTGGATGAAGGAATTGGAGAGAATTTTTTATGGAAATGTTGTTGCCTATGATGCTGCGCTACTTCCAGAAGCTAAACCAAATGAACTACAAATCAAATTATGGAGGTAAAGCTTCTACAACGTCATTCTTTATGCAATGAATTCAGTAGATATTAGTTACTCAGCAAAAGTAGCTCGGCTTGAATGCAGCCATAGATAGTGGATTTGTCTCAGAACCTTAAATGCAATTGGATTGTAGGAACGTATTTTCTGATGATGGAACAACAACACCTGATAACACAGATTTAAAAGCAGCACAGGCATGATTTTCTCCTCCCTATTTCTCTCAAAACACACACACATTAGGCATTGTGTACCGAAATTTTTGAGACATCGCTTGTGTGTTTCAGGCAATGGCAAGATATGTCCGGAGAGAACTTGGTTCTCTTTCTTTAACAGGTGCACAACACTAACCTCCATTATCTTATAATGCTTTATCAATTGCGACATACAGTTTAGTTATATAGTAACCTATGAAACTGTAGTTAGCATTGCCCCATTCTGTTACTCGCACTTGCATTTCGAAAAGACATATACCCTTTCTTATATAGTTCTGTTTTGTAATACACAGATAATGAGTCCATATTCTCCGGTAATTTCTCCTTCACCCCTTTGGAGAACAAGCCCCTGTGACTTGAATGAAATTAGAAGAAGCCATGGCGCTTTATGAATCAATCTTTCATTTGTTTCTCCTTTTTCTTCGGTTTTCTTATATCCAACCAAAGAAACGAATATGCTGGTTGTTAGCTTCCAGATGATCACGAAAACATTGTGAAAGTTAATAAGATTACTGAAATAGAGCATTTCCTGTCATTGGTACATTATCCTTTATAGAAGGCGGTAGTAGTTACTTCTCTACGGTTTAACATTTTATGATCTTGTATTTGAAACAGTTTTATTATTTTATAACTACAGTATGTTCGAATGTGGAATTCATCATCTTTATTATGTCTTTTATAGTACTGGTTATATCTTTCTTTTTTTGCTCTTTGAGGTTAGCACAACTAATTAATTGTGCCAAATGGAAGTAGGTTTGAGTTAGATGATCTTTTCGAAGTATCTCATAATAGCGTGCTTTCATAGAGAACAAATGTTCATGATCAAAGATTTCTGCTCGCGTAGAAGGTGATTCTGAAGATTTGTGTAATGTACCAATGCCACTAAGTGTCTATATGAAGATTTCCGCTCACATAGAATAGAAGGATCAAAACATTACTCGCAAACCAACAACAAAGAAAAGAAGAAGGAAATTAAGATTACATCATACATTGCATGTTATTATCATACATTATGACAACACAAACGTTGAGGAAAAACAATGAGAAGAGAGATCAAACGATGGATGACAATTTAATGTGGGAAATCGATTTTAGCCTTTGAATTTTAAGAAGCTTGTTGGTGTTGGACTCCAATGTTGTGCTGCCCATACTTGGTATCCTGCACTCTGCTCCCCACCTTCATCCGAGCATTCTCTATCTTCTCCGATCCAGATCCCGTCAAGTGCCTAAATATATATATTCACCAATATTCAAACTAACTCTTAATATAAACTGTAACGTGCATTGCAAGCTAGGTTTGAAACCTGTAGGTCACGTTTTGTTTGTGTTCATAAATTACCTGTAGACCCAAGAGAAGGCGGTAATGGCGGCTATTCCAAAGCCACCAGATGCAAGAAATCCGGTGATGATGAGAGCGACGGTGATCACTGCTGGAACCAAGACGGGGCTGAAGATGACGAGGAGAGGAGTGGCTACCGTGAGTGCGATCACTGTTCCGGCGAGCGTTAAGCCGGAAAGGACAAGGAGGGATCCACCGGCTGTGACAGCGGTTGCTGCCTTCACCATCTGCCTCTCCTTCGGATGGGACTCTTGGGTACTGTCTCGGCTTATCATCTCGAGATGGGTTCTTGTTTGGTCCGCCATTGATTCTTTTTTATTATAATCCCTCTAACACAAATGGTAGAAATTAGCAGAGAATAGGTAGTGATGTATTTTGGAGTAAGCAATGATGATTTATGAAGGAGAGGAGAGCTGGTGGGGCTCGCTTGAGCCGTGTCACGTGTTCAAAGTGTCTTCATGCAGCCGTTGCATGTGTTAATGAGATCAGAGAGGGGTCTGTTTTGCGACACGTACGTTTGGCCGTTTTGTTTTTGCAATCGGAAACAAATGGACCGGGACATAAGTCACGTGATATATATATACACGTTAATACGTTATTATTGATCGGTCGTGATGTTATGGTCTTGATCCCATTCCCCACTCTAGAAGCAAAGAAAAGGAAGTTGGAATCAATATCTATTAGGCCAAACCAACTTAATTAGCCCACAGAGAATAGTAGCTCGTTGCCTCAAAGGAGCAATACTATACGCCTGAAAGTCCGAAATTCAATTTCTTTGTCTGTCGGCGGATATATCGTGGTTTAAGAACATTATGTAATGTAATTAATGTAGTATCTGTGTTTTGTTAACGTATTATCTTGGTCTTTATCTTCATAATCTAATCCTTATCAAACACTAAAGAAGGAATTTTCAAATCTTGACCATGAACATGAATTTATTTGGACATCTTCTAATTTATTGGACAAAAACGTGCACGCAGAAATTTCAAACTTTCATTGTCCAATTGGCAAGTCGCTATATATAATAACTCTACACTTCATTGCTTAGCCGTGAAAGAAACAAAAATCAACTAAACCAAATTTAAATTAGTTTCAAACAATTAAACAAAAGATATAAGTTTCAAATAGTGTGCCCAAGCGAGAGAATCCAAGGCGGCAATATTGTCTAAAACAGGCAAGTGGACATAAATGCGTGCACCTTTCCAAAATATAACTAAACTTTACACATAAAAGCAAAAAATTGTCAATGTTTCTTTCAAATTTCTCTAATAAAAACAATTTTTAATTTGTATATATGAAGAAGCCTGGAAATAGACACTAGCTTGTGAATATGGCCCCCTCACAACAAAAAGAAATCCTTCTTATCTTAAAATAACAATTTAGAGAGTCCACTTGCAACACTCCAAGTCAAAAATATTGAAAACAGGATCCTTCCTCTTTCCAACCAGAGAAGCTAACTACGAAACCTCTCACCCACTTTTATATATAACCTCCCGCTACTCTGAAAACCCAAAATCCATAATCAAATACTAAAAAAGACTCCAATACCTTTCATCTATGGCTTCTTCAGATCAACAACAACAAGAACAAGACCAATCAGCTTTAGATCTCATAACCCAACACCTTCTTACCGATTTCCCTTCCTTAGACACCTTTGTCTCCACCATCCACCACTGCACCACCTCAACTCTAAGCCAACGCAAGCCACCTCTTGCCACTATAGCAGTTCCTACAACTGCACCAGTGGTTCAAGAGGTTGATGATCAAAGGCACTACAGAGGCGTCAGGAGAAGACCGTGGGGTAAGTATGCGGCTGAGATCAGAGACCCAAACAAGAAAGGTGTTCGTGTCTGGCTAGGCACTTTTGACACAGCCATGGAAGCTGCAAGAGGTTACGACAAGGCTGCTTTTAAACTACGAGGAAGCAAAGCCATTCTTAACTTTCCACTCGAAGCAGGAAAGCACGAGGACTTAGGAGACGACAACAATAACAACAAGACTACTGTGTCTTTAAAAGCAAAGAGGAAGAGACAAGTAACGGAGGATGAAATTCATGGAAGTAACCTGTGTAGCCATAAAGCTGTGAAGAGGGAAGAGGCAGAAATTCAGGCTCAGGCTGAGGTTTGCCCGTTAACACCGTCAAGTTGGATGGGGTTTTGGGACGGACAAGACAGTAAAGAGATGAGAATATTTTCTGTGCCTCCGTTATCTCCTTATCCATCTCTTGGACACTCACAACTCGTGGTTACGTAAGGAGCAAATTGGGAAAATTCCAACATTAGGTGACATCAGAAACTTTAATATCATCTACAGGCAAAACACCAAGAAGATGATAACAAATAGAACTTGCTAATTGTTCAAATCTTATTAGATTAGCTAGTTGTAAAAAATGCTTTGCTTTTATTCATTCATTCTTCTGCTTTATACCCTTAGACTTTATGTTTGAATGCTGTATAATTCATTTAATTTGAGCAAAGACGATTTGTTTATAATGAGATTAAAACATATCAAGTAACACTTACATGACTTTTAAAAGAATAGACGTACAAAGAGTAAAAAGAGAAGACGTGGGCAGTTAGAATGTGGTGAAAAAAAACAAGAAAAAAAACTCTGAATGGTAAAAGTTTTTGGCTTTCAAGACTTTAAAATAAAGTTGGAGCTTTTAAAGTTTTTCCCAATCACCTCAGAGAAAGTATTATCTGAATTCATATGGATATTGGATAACACCTTACTATTTTGTGATTGAAGTACCTCAGTTATACAGACCCGCACTACAATTTCAGATTTGGACATTTCACACACAAAAATTGTTCAACCACAAAAAATACATTTCTTGAGAAGCTTATTATCATAAACACTTTTGGATGGCCATTTCTTTTACAGTCGTTGCCAGTCTCTGGAACACCTTCAGGTTATGTCCTACTTTTCCCTGCGATAGACAAGTTGGGTCACCACCACCGTTCCCATTCAACACATAAATAATCTTAAATTCTCGTAAATCGATTAGACTTTACCTCATTCAGTAATGCAAGCCTCTCTATGGTAGGTGACAATTTGCCACATAGATCTGTAACATCCTGTTGTAGATGGGATTTTGAACCATATGATCCCCTTTCATTTGAACTAACGGATCTGCAGATGTCAAGTGTTTAGCATATTACCCTAGAGCAAACCGTATGACCATCGTAGATTTCCAAAATATATTCACTTAACAACATTTAAGATATTAATTGTTGAAGATAAAGTGGCATACCTATCTTGGAGATGGATCAGGATAATATTTAGTACATGCTCGGCAAGTTGTAGTAACAAGGTGATTAACTGGTCCCTGTTACCCACGATTTGGCACATTTCAACCATAGCTATGTATCTCCTGAGGTAAGTAACAAGCCACAAACAAATATAAACAGTTGTCAAACGTCTTACTAATCACTGATAGGAAAAAGCTGGAAAAATTCTATGTTAATAACCCATTTCTGCTTTAGCATATGCACGCATGAGCAAGCCGAAGAAAGGAATTCACTAACCTTTTATGTATGTTGTCGGACGGTGTGACATATTCTTGGCAATCACATATCTTGATGATCGCATCTACATCTTGTCTTGAGAGCTCGTTTATGTCTCTAATCTGCCAATCATACATGCAACTTCGAATATATATATATATATATATATATATATATATATAAAAGGAGTTTGAAACATATAAAGAGTAGGAATTAGGATATAATATACCTTATGAAGAAGTAAGGACTTTTTCTCTGCTGCTCTCTCGAGGGAATCAGTCACATGCGAAAGAAGAGATGCAAGCAACAGTAACGTTGGTTGGCGTAGTTTAGTGGAACTATCAAGAGAATCATCGGAAACCTGGGAGGAGGGGTGGGTGTGGGGACAAGGGGCATGAGTATTTACTTGTAGTTCATTCAAACAACTGAATAATGAAAACGTGGACAGAAGAAATCGAGGGAAATAACTACAAAAGTACCTGCAACCTCAGAGAGTTTTTGGTCACCAGAAAATATAAGTAAGAAGTCAAGCTGAATCGCAACTGAGACAATTTGAGCTCTGACCCCTTCTGTCCACCAGATGACAAACAAAAAAGAGAAACCCATCGAATATAAGAATTCAAGGATTGGATGACAAGGTGCCAAAAAAATATATACTGATACTCAAACATGTACCTGAACTACTTGTCCTACCTGCGATGATATCAATTTTATGGGGGAGACGATGAAAAGGTTGCTCATCATATCAAAAAGCCCTTGAACAAATCCATATCCATCGTTCTCTTCAAAAGGCCAGACCTACAAAACAAGCAAACTCACTTTCTAGAAAACGCATCTATAACTAGCTTGTGGGATTTTTTGAGCCCTCTTGAAGATGCAATCACAAAAAGAGAAGCAAATGCCCTTTAAGAAGAAAAAAATTAAGAACTTATAGCTCGCCAAAGAATTACCTTGCTCAATATTCCCACTGCAAGAATAATTTGCTCCATCAATAAATCATCTGCTTGAGTAAAGTCTTCCCGAAGAAGTTGGTCAAAAAGAAATTGATGTCCTTTGATAAACTCAATGACTTCACGAACAATTTTATTCCTCCCCTATCAAACGCCCAGGTAGAGAAAGAAGAAAGAAAATCATTATAGTTCGCATACCAAGAAAACCAGTTACCCAGAATAATCAACAACAATGACTTGCATAATTAGTTGAATAGGAAAAGAATAGGTGAAAAAGAAATCAAGATCATACCTAAAAAAACTAACAAGAACAATACTAACTGTCCTAAAATTTTCTGCATCTCAGTATTAGATTGTTATGTCTTGCAAACTATACTGCAAATGTCATCAAGTGATTGTACTTGTATAAGGTGAAACGTTTGAAGACACTCACCTATTTCCTACTTCTACTTGTTAGAGGCATAAAAGATGTAAACAATAGCAATAGAAAATCAGTGCATCATTCAAGTTTCTACAAGATGCAAACAATACTAATTTCATATCTCAAACAAACTGAACTCGGTGTCTGTCATTCAATTTTAGAAGGTCTGTATTACTCCCACACAAGTCCCCAAATAAATCACAAGTAAGAATATAGAAATTGCAGTCTTAGAAAGGCCCTAAACGATCTGGAAAATAGTGTTTAAATGGCAAATCATGCTCACTAAACCAGGCCAATACATATGGAAGGGAGTATTGAATTAGCAATGCAAAAGATCATAAAAGAAAAGGTCATCTGGGAAACGCGGCTGACCTCGAAAAATTCAGAGGTCTCAACCAATGAGGTTAGAGCAAACATCAGTCTTAGGACAGCAGTGATTATTGTTCGTTGCTTTTGCACATTATATCCTACATCACTCTGAAGTTTCATATCCACCCGTCTCATATTTCCCTGGAAGGCACTTTTGGGATTAAAAGCAGAGGCAAAATTGAGGTCACATATCGAAAACCTGATAACTACAGATAAATATATTACCTTAAAGCTGATAGCTCTACATGAAGCGATATGTTCCAGCGCACCCATGGAGAACAGAACCTGGCCTCCAGACTTTCCGTACTTGTGACTAATTCTAAGTAGCAATGCAAATTCTGCTTCTAAGGTACATGCTCGCTGTTGTGACTCCAGCAAATGTGTTCCATCCTGGGCCCAATAATATGATAAATGCACATGCATGAATGACAAGTCCTCGAAAATAAAAATACCCACATATAAATCAGGTCTCCAAAGTATGTAAACTAGCAGCATATGAAGATTAAGATCGCCGATACCTCCTATGTAAATGGGACATAAAACACACACGAGTTACATAGGGTGTCGAGTCTTTTAATGTGGATCAAAAAGTCAAACCAACAGCTAACTGGCCACATTATGCCACTCTTAAAGAAGATTTAACAGGTTTGCGATCCTATTTTGACGATCTTGCATATATAAATAACTGTGAGCTTGAATTTGCATGTATGAACTCCTACGCACTGAAAGGGTATTATTGACTCAAATACAATTTAATCTATTTTTGCAGTTTATCAGTCAAACCCAAATTAATTAATTACCACTAGTTAAACAAGTTGCAACAAGAGATTTCATAGCAATGGGCTACTAAAAACTTCTACAATATTCATAGCAATGACCACACTCAGAAGTTCACAGGGATATTACCTGGTAGGAGATATTACTAATGCTTCCAAGGCAAGACCGTATGAAACCTCGGCTCTGGAGCTGACTAAGAAAATATCTCTCGTGATCAATACAAACAAGAGCTTCCAGCACATAAAGTGATATTGTTTTCCCAAACTCACTGCCTTGACTTGCATCCTTGATTACCTGGAATCAGTACTCTCAATGTGAAACAGTGCAAATGAATATGGCTCATATCAATAAAGAAGTAACAATTACCAGATCCAAGATGCCCTGAGCTTCTTTCTTTATTATAAAAAAGTTGGCACGAGCAAGGTCAGCCTGCTCCTTGTCAATCTGAAAGACAAGAAAAAAAAACATTAAATTATCGTCCGAACAAAATAAGTCTCGGGTTAATCAGCAAACACATGCCTTCTGGATATCCAAATCTTCACCGTCTTGCTCATTAAGTAACAAGAACTGCACAACTGATGTTGGCACATCCAGAGCAATCATATGCTGGCAGTACTGGAAATAGCTCAAGAGCAATGCATATTGGCTGATGAAGAAAGGCAAATGTGTTAGAAACGGGGAAAAGCCGAAATTAGATAAGCTGGGCAGAATATGACTTTATGTTGTATTATAAGAAAGTAAAAAGACAACTAAGGGAACTTAGTACTGTACCGCCTTCTCAAAGATTCTGATGACTCATGCCTTAGAATTGCCATAACAAGTTTAAATAGAACTGAGTGGCAAGCACCAGTGGATAAATGTTTGACCATCATAACATCTAGACATGTCACGGTGTCAGAACTCAAGGCCCCTTGAAATGAAAATCTATCATCACGAAGTTTGGCAATGCAGGTAAGGGCAACCTATTAAAACCTAAAGTTAGTACATAGACAGCACATTTTACAATAAAAGTTACTCAACAGCTAAAATGCACCTGAGTAAGTACGAACGCCATTTTTAATGAACAATCTGGAGACGCGGAGGCACTAAGAGAGGCATCAAGTATCCTGCCAACGACCAGAGAAGAACAAGTCATGCAATGTTCAAGAAAGCTTCCGCAAGCAACTAACCTCTGATACAAAAGGTACTCACCGGTACAAAATTTCAGACCGATTATCAAGAGAAGATATTCTCCTGCAAGCAGACACCTAAAACAAAAACATACGAAGCACAACACAAAAGATAAATACTTGATATCTTAAAAGAGTGGCACACGCTAATGATACTAAAGGTGATCTGATTTTTTAAGAAAAAAATCAACCTCAACAATCTGAGACCAGCCAGCTAACATATGAAGTTGGGCAGCTTGCTCCTCAAGGTTTCGATTATACTTCCAGCCCCATTTCAACAGCTGTTGAATTGTCTCTCTAACTTCACTAAGCT